ATGTCTAGGCAAAACTTCTGGGTGATTTAAATAATTTCAATGAATAAAACACAAAAAAAAGCAACTGATTTTGGCATCACAGTCTGTTAAATCTTTTGCTCTTTTCTTCTGATTGAAATATGTTTGTTTGGTTACTTTGGAAACTACTTCGAAATTATATTAGAAAGATTTTTTTTATTTAATCGAAATCCTATTATAACCTTTATCTTAATAAAGATAGGGGGCTAAAAAAAAAAGCGAAAGTTCACCTTGTATTGAATTGAAGATTTAAGAAACTAGTTCTCGAAAGCTTTTCTATTTCAGAGTATAGGTAAATTGAATACTTATTTTGAATTTTTTTAATGTTTTTTCTGTTGAATGATTTAATTCATTGAATGACTTATAAGTTGAATTTGAATGATTCAAATTGAATGAATTGTTTTTAATTGAATGAATTCAATTGAATAACTTATAAGTAAATTATACTTTTCTTAAGAAATTCAAAGGTAAAATATTTCCATTCAATTAGAACTAACTAACTTTATCTTTGAAAAATAGACATTATATTACTTCTAATAATTAATTCCAACTAATACCCTGAAATAAAATCTGGAAATATTTGTTCTCATACATTTTTTTAGCATTTTATTTTTGCTCTTTCATTTCTCTTAGGCTAATAGTACATATTTTGCTAGTGGTTTAGGCCTTTTTCTGGGTTGAATTCTTGAAATTACCATCAAAATTGCAGTAGAATGTGAAGGATTTACATTCTGGAAATGTGTTATTGTGGTTTGCACATTATAAATTCATCAAATGATTAAACAATTTTATTTCTATGGAGGAATAATTAAAATATTTTCATCCATTAATTGTTCATGAACTCTAAATCTTTTTAGTAACCACATCAAGTTTTAAAACAAATTTTGAGAAGAATCTGAAAATACTTGTTCTTTACATATTTTTCTTTAAATTCGTTAGCGTTTCGTTAACTTCATTCACTCTTACTAACTAAAAGTTTTTTTCTGATAAATTATATCTCTAGTACTCACAGGGGGTTTATGTAAGTCCTTAAAATCTTTTAATTGTCTAAAATTTTCTTTTTGTGTTAATTCTGTAATTAATGTTGTTCAAATCTATATGAAAAATTGGGTTGAACTGCTGTCGTTCGGTCCAGGGCCCCTTTTCTCCAAACTGCGGCCTAATCCGTTTGGCCATCCAACCACTCACCGGCTGCTGCAAATTTTGCTGTTGTTGCTATTTCCAGCCGCTGCCCATTTCCTAGTTCTTTACTGTCCTTTACTATAGCTGACTAGACAGTCGCGACATCTATATCGCAAATATTAGTCGTACTATCGCAGCATTTTTCCGCCCCCATTCATTCTTCATCTTCTCATTAAACAAGATTATGCTCAATTTGTTATTATCCCGCCTAATGTATAAAAAACATGCTCACCATGTAAAATTGGAAAATGTTGTCAGGGAATGTGATAATATCATGTTACTTTCTGCTTAACTTGCTAATAAGGGTAAGGACCAAAAAAACTGAGTTGGTTCTGTAAAGTTTAAATTGGAATAAAAAATAAATGGAGATCAAACATCGGAGGGAAGATAGGCAATAGAATACTCAATCATTATCTCAAACCAAATGTATGTCTAGGCAACTTTTCTGTGTAAATGGTTCTAAGTTCAATGGTCGTCTAACAACATTAACCTGACTTTTAATGCTGTTAACCTTTTCACAAATATACATAATTAATTCAATATGCTAATTAACTATCTCTCCTATCATTACTATCATGACTATTCATAGCTCGAACTCACTTCTAAAAAAAAGCTATGATTTTTTTTGCAATAAACGCCTTATCTTAATAGTAAAATATACATATAACACTCCTTTCAAAATAATAAACTCCTTATATAATAGAGGAAATAGATACATATTCTTATTTTAACGCTTTAATAATCTATTATGAAATTTTTTAAAAAGAAATTTCATTTTAATTTAAATCTAATTTCATCTTATCCAATCTTTGTGTTTTTTACATCAATGACAAAAAAAAACAAAAGTAGAATTTGTATTGAATTCCAAAAATAAACTATTATTTTTAGGCAGATAAAAAAAAATAAAATATTTTAGTTTCTGTAGGTAACTAGCAAACTATTTTTATGTTTCAAGTTTTTTTTTTGACAACCTATTTTGCTAATAATGTGCATCCCTTGTACATTTTGTTAAAGATTACTGAAACTGTTTAATTTCATTGCAATCCAAATTATTATTATTTTTAAAATTACACATTATTGTTTCATTTATTTCTTTTAGATGGGGATGGTTATTTTAATAGGGTTTAGGCCGCTTTCTGGGTTATTTAAAAAATATTTATTCCAAACTGTAAAAAAAAGCTGTATATGTATTATTGGGCTACATTAGAATTTTTTTTAATTTTTTTCTCTCTCGAATTTAACAACAAAATTTTTTTTTTGACAATTACTTCAAAGCTTAAAAAAAAAAAAAATTTTTTTTCTCTTTAATCACATAGATAAATTTTTGAGTTGAATCGGAAAACACTTGCTCTCTGTGTTATACATGTGTTTTCTGGAATTTTAATTTCTAATACTAACATTTTTCCATTTTTATTGGTAATAATCAAGGGGGTCTAGGCCTAACATAGGATTTGCATGCACATAGCTAAACCCTAATTATCGCTGGAGTATAATAAGCTCAAAATATATAATAAGCTCAAAACTTGACCTTGATCAATTTAGTCCTATGAAAATTATAAGGAAAAATAATAGTAAATAAACTTAATTATATTCTTTTATGTAATAAGATTGGGCCAGCAATAGAACTAGTTTGAAACTTAACACTTAGACAAAGATAAGTTAAAAAAAGTAGGTTTAAGAAAAACTAATTTATTTAATTAATAAATAAACCAATATTATAAATTCAGATACAAAGGACTCAAAAACAATGCGGTTCAAATGATGCTTCGGCAACCAAACAAGCAACTTGCGTAATTTATGATCTAATGTATTGGGTAAAATTCGGGTTAAAGTTTATTAAATAAATGAATAAAATCTAACATCCCTTTTTTTCATGAAATGCGGACCAGTTGGATGGCAAATCAAACTCAATTGGATCTTAATGTTCTTGGATTTGGCAGGACAGATGAAATCAAAAAAAAAACTCATTCATTTTATCTACCATTTAGCTATGTATATAATTTCCTGAACTCTTCATATTATTATTTAAATGTTCCCCATTAGGACATAAAATTTCCCTGGTGCTACAAATAACTTTCAAAAAACTAGATATTAATCTCTTAAGAGTTAATATCTTCATTTTTAAAGGTTACTTTTAGTGCCTAGCAAATTTTATTTCAAAAACTAAGTTATGGATTTAATAACTGCTATAAATCTGTATGAGTATCATGGAAAAACTGGATAAATTCCTTATTTTTCATAATACTCACACATAAATTTACATCAATTATTATTCCTACCAACCCTCACATTTATCAAAATACCTCTTAAGAAGATTACTTTATTTTTGTAGAAAATACTTAGGTAATACCGAATTTATTTTAAATTTGTTAATCATTCTCCCAAATATTACTATTAAATTGACCAGGGACGGTCAAAAATAAGGAAGAGAGTGGATTAAGCTGGCTTAGGCTAATAAATGGGTTTATTTTATTTTATTTTATTTTGAATGTTTAATTATCTTATACTATACTTTGTTTAAGTTATCCATTCAGATTATTTTACATACATTTGATTTATTTTATTTCCTTTCATTTTATACACGGTTAATTTTATCTTAAATTATCCCCACATTTAATATTGTATACTCAACTACTTATTTCACTGTGATTTTCAATCATGAATACCCACCACATAATGCTCGATTCCAAAACCAACCGCCTGGACAATTTAAGGAACATTTAATTCTTATGGGATAGAAAACTATCAGGAATTTTAAGAAATAAAATAAATGAAACATGGTATCTCAAATAACAGCTAAAACAACTCTTTCCATAAAACAAGTTAAAGATATGAATAAGACTGAATGGCTTCGGCTAGATTCAGAACAAAAAATGTACCCATAGGGTCAACTATGCGCTATAAAACAAAGTGTCCTGAAAGGATCACTTACAGGCTTCGGCAGTCTTCAAATTAAGTACGTGATAATGTAAATGGAAAGAGTTGTCTCAAAAAAGTCTATACTTAAAAATTCCATGTTTCATTTAAATGATAGGAGAAGGGGCACCCTAATATTTAAAGACGACCAGGGACGGTCTAGGTGGGCAAGGGAGGTGTAAGGTATATCCGTTGATTGCCTAAGCACAGGTGATCTTATGGACGAGCATTATGTGTTAATGGATTTTCCCAACCATTACACTATAATTATTATTTATCTTTATTTCCTGTGTCACCTCCCATTCACATGCTTATGTTTATATATTGTTTATTGCTTCACCGATAAATCAGTTCCCAGTTAGTCAGTCTTTGTGTATATATGTGCCTATAAGGAAGAGCACACCGGTGTGGCTCAGTGGTAAAGGTTAAGCTTGGGTCTGGCCAACCCACAAGCTATCTTTAGGGATTATAATGGTTTAACTGTGCCTAGGTTTGGTTTTAGAATGGACCCAGCATGATTCCACTTAACTCTACTTAGCACAATTGCTTTGATCGACTACTTGGCAGCTTCACGTGGACTTCTACGCCGTTTCGACAACAGCTTTGTGACGACAAAAGATGGCCGCAAGTGTAAGTTTTGCTTACTACCGCCTTCTGTCTTTTTAATCTTTTCTCATTCTTTTATTTACAGAAAGGGCGATCTGGCAGGAACAAACAAAGCAAACAAAAGTACGACACTGAAGGTGGCAGGCGTCAGAGTTCAGTCCTCAAGCGTCCGAGTGCACGTGCAACTGTTGATCGTCCGTCTCGTGGTGGTTCCGGTGGTGGTTCTGGCGATCCTCGTAGGCCCTCTACTCAATCAACAGGATCAACAATCTCGCAGCATGCTACAGCAGCCCAACGCTGGTTTTACTGTGAGTTTTTTGAGTTAATCTTGCGCTCTTTTCTTTCGCTCGCACACATACATATAATCATTTTCTTTATTATTACAGCTCTAGTGCGACATGGCGGCATCAGGCGCATACGGGAAAAGTTCGTCAACGATCTCGCAACCTACAGGTCAAAGCGCGTAACAACCAAGGCCTTTGATGATGAGAGAAACGCTGATCTCAACCGGTATCCAGATGTGGCACTAATCGACCAAACAAGGGTTGTCCTTAGAGATGGGCCTGAAGGTGCCAACGCTCTTCCTAAAAATAAAACAATTTTCATTTTTCTAGGTAGCGACTACGTGCACGCGTCAAAGGTGAAGGGCTCCGAGTTTCCGATGATTTGTGCTCAGGGTCCGATCGACGAATCAATTGCCAACTTCTGGACGATGGTTGTGGAGCAGAATTGCGGGGTGGGTTATTCGAAATAACTTGTTTCCTTTATAAAGCTGTTCCATATTTTATTTAAGGTCATCGTCCAGCTCTGTCAAAATCAAGAGGAAGGCCGTGAGAAGTGTGCAGACTACATCCCTGCCGAGCCAACGCTCTATGGGAACGCGACCGTATCTGTCAAGGAGCCGACCCATGCTACCGTAGCCAACCCAAGTGTTCACAGGACAGTTATCGATGCGTCACTTCCGAGCGGGCGGAGCGTTGAGGTCGTGCACTTTCTCTACGATGGATGGCCGGATCGCGATGTACCACTATCACCAGCAGCGTTTCGTCAGCTTCGCGGGACGGTCCAAAAGTTGGCAGTAACACGAAAATGCTCTGTGCTCATCCACTGCAGTGCTGGAATTGGTCAGTTTTAAGGATTTGGGAGATTAAAATTTTTGGTCTTTTTCCCTTTACAGGTCGTACGGGGACATATGCCGCGATCGAGATGGCCTACAGGGACCTGATTGCCAACGACCGAGAAGTGCAAATGTCTACAATATTCCAGCGACTGCGCGACCAGAGGGCCCATGCAATCCAGACTGATTTGCAGGTGCCTTTTAAATCTGAAAAGCTCCCTTGCTTTACCAAAAATTTTTTTACTTTTTCAGTACCTTTTTCTCCACCGTGCGCTCATTGACATTGCTTTGGAAAAAGGCCGACTGAACCGGGTAGACAAAGCGGGAGGCGTCGACGCGTTCATCAAAGAATACGAGGAACTGATCAAGAGGAAAAGAGAGGAGCGCAAAGAACTGGAACGGAAGCACAAGAGAAGACGTGGATGAGATTAGTGATTGATATATATGTACATATACTAGGCATTGTTCTTTGTCCCTTATATTCACATCTTGTGCCCGTCTGATTTTTTTCTCACAATTGTTGTATTTCTGATTATTTTTTTTGTAATGATTTTGTATGTATTTTACTTGATGTATTTTTCACTGAATAAATAAATTTGTAAAAATGTTTGTGTTCTTTATTTGTTATTTTTTAGGGTTGAGTTTAATATTTGATTTAGTTAGTTAGGCATGAATTTCGTTTGAATCTTTTAGGTATTTAGTTTGATTGACAAAACTGGAATTTTGTTCACATTTTCTTAGTGTTAGATATTCCATCCGATTGACAATATTTTCTTGATAATACTTTGACTTTTTTGTTTTGCCATTTTTGTTTAACTCAGAAATTTATTTTTTTTTCATTTTCCAATAAGAAAGGGGGATTAAATCAGTTGAATTTTTAAAAATAAAAATAATAAATATTCTCTTTAAATTCCTCAAAAAATTTTTTGAGTAAAAAAGGCAATAAACAGCAAATTTATTTTGATTTTGTGGCAACAGGATTTACGTCTCTAGTAATTCAATTTGAATAGTTTTGGGATTCGTACATTCAAATGCCAATTTATTGTGTTAACTTTTAAAATATTTTCTTTATAAAAATATATTTTTTTTTAGTTTTTTTATAAATGTCATTGTTAAACAATTTCCCATTAATTTTGATTTTGAGTTTATTTTGAATATTTTTGTTGTTATTTAATTCTGAAGTTTTATTATGAAAATTTTATGAAAATCTTAAAAATATTTTTTCCTTTTTCTGTTAAAAAATTCAAGGAAAATTATTAAACTATATTTCAAATGTGAGTTAAAAATTAGTTGAGTAATTTAATAAATTTCCGAATTAAAAATAAAATTTAAAAATCTTGTTGATTTTATGTATGCTTTAAAATTAAATAAATTCTTTTAATCTTTGCTGACAATTCTTTAATAAATTAACTCCTCTAAAATATGTATATCACCAAAGAAATATTTAGTTAATAATTTTTAAATTTTTCAGAAAAGATAAAATTTAGGCATTAATTAGGTTGTAAATTAAATTATTAAAAATCAACAAAGTAAGAGCGAGGTAAAAGTTTAATCACGGGCACCTCCTGACAGTTATTGCTAGCTACCGGGACGCTGCTTTCACCTTCTCTTTTATTAGATCTTAAATCCCCGCGTAGTTAGCGTTTTAAATGAATGTTAGCCAGCTGGATCTTTTTCTTCCTTAAAATAAAAATATTTTTTAAAGAAACATCCTTTTTAAATTTACAAAAATATTTTTAATTTAAATATTTAAATACACATGCATTTCTTTAATAAACACAACAATTTTTCCCAGGCTCTCCAATTTCTCTACTTTTTTTTAAAAAAATAAAAGCGCAAGTTTTTAAAAAAATATTTTTCTCAATTTATTTGTTAACAAATTGCGTCAATTTTCCTTTAAGAAAAAAAACATATTCGAACGTCTTCGTCTCCTTTTTTTTGCATTTACTTCCGTTTTTACAATTTTCTTCAACAAAAAATTCTTTTGCCAAATCTTTTATAAAACACTTAATTTAGATGCCTTTTGTGTTTATAGGGTGTTCTTTCTTTTTTTCTAGAAAAATTTTTTTGATGTTAAAAATCTTCTTTTTTTTACTTGTATGTATTTTTATTTATTTATTGGAATTCTTTTCATCGCCCCAATTCCCGCGAGGAATATTTTCTTTAAAAATAAAGAAAAAAAACCTCGAATATATTTACATCATTTTATTTAAAAAACATCACTTTTCTAAAATTAAAAAAAGCAAACGAACATTTCGATTAAATATGAGAATATCTTTTATTTATTTATTTAATTTTAAAAATATTCCCACAAAATTTATTTTTGAAATTTGAACTCAATTTATTAAATTTTGTTTAGTTAAAAAATCTTTTTCTTATATTAACACAATTTGTATTTATTTTTAAGAAAACAAAGCAGACGGAAATAGGAGTAATAATTTTTATTAATTAATGTTGCTGTTTTCTAATTCCGACCTGATTTAAAGCAAATAAATTGTGCTTGGTCATAATCAGTTTGAGCAATAATAAATCTTTTTTTTTGGGGTTTTCACTTCGGTTTCGGAATCAACAAAATCGGGATGGAGATTCAAAAAAGCGCGATAATCCGCCCGATCGTGATCCCGCTGAACTCTAATTTTGGCAACTAGAAATTTACTATAAAAACAGAATAAAAGGGCGAAGTTTACGGTAAATCAACTAAAATATATTAAAAATAATTTTATTTAAAATTTCAAAAAAATTTTTTTTTATGAAAACCATGGTTGCTTAACAACGTCAGAAATTATTCTTAAAAAATAAAAGAACTTTAAACACGCATATTTAAATAAAATGAACAAAAAGCCTCACAAAAAGCTAAGAAAAACTTGTAAATAATGAACAAAAAAGGAACGTAAATTTGGCCAATTTCCTTCTTTAAAATGGCACAAATGCTTGAATTTGTTCATTTATATAATAAATATTTAAATAATTTCCGTCTGGAAAGAGGTAACAAAAATCAAAAAATTTAAACTTTTGTTCCTTCTTCTTAGCAAAATTTTTGCTTAAAAAATTTATTTAAAATATTTATACACAAATATTATTCTCTATTGATAATTTTGCAATTCCTAAAATACACTACAAATATTCCAAAATTCATTTTAAAGTTAAGTGTATCAGAAATACAGAGATAAAGGGATATTCTTTAATTTTAGAATTCTTTCCAACCGTGTTTAAAATATGTATTAATAATATTATTATTTTCCAGTAAATTTTATTTTAAGTAATTAAAATCATTTTAACTAATTAAAAGAATATTTTTATTATTATTTTTCCCAATCTTTCTCACCCTTTATTCTTTCCCCTCCCTCCCACCCTCCAAATCCACCCACTCTTTATTACCCAAAAATTCCGGCTTTTCAAACATTGCTTTTTTGGTTTCCAAAACAAAATAAGAAATATATATAAAATATCAATGGCATTTTGTTTTTTAGAAAAAGGAGTTCCGGTTGGCTTTTTCCTCTTTTTCTACCTCCCTCCAATAATTTCAAAGCTTTGAACATATAAATACACGCACAAAAGAATTTTTTATTTCCCTTTAACACACAATTTTAACTGAACGCTCTCACGGGAATTTAGAAAAAAAACAGACATTGAGCCAAATAAAGGGAATAAAATTGAGGAAAAGATAGAGGAGAGATATATCGAGCTTTTTGTCACTAAAAGAGAGAAAATCAAAAAATTTAAAAGAGAACTTTTTTTTAAATTTGTTCTTTTTTTAATTAAAATGTTTAAAATTTAAATTAATTTTTTATGTCTATTGCCACCAGACAATATCTCTAATTAATTTTATTTTTGACTGAAAACTAAAATAAAATTGGGAAGTGAGAAGCTTTATTTGGATTGGAAATAATTTTTACTTTTTTTTTAAATTTTATTTTTAAAATATTTTATTTTTCAAATAAATAAAAAAATTTTTTTTGATCTTTTATTTACAAATTTTAACTAAATTTTCTATTTTATTAAAAAAATTAAAGAAAAATTTTTAAGAAAAGTTTTTTGTAAAAAAATAAAGAATGGTCGATTGGTTAGGAATTATTGCAATAATATTCTTTTATATTTTAATTTTAATTGTTGGAATTTGGGCTGGTCGAAAAACAGATGAAACAAAAAATGTTATAGAAGGGGGACAGACAGAAGAAGTAAATATAAATTAAATGAATTAAAGAAATTGTTTTTGTAGGTAATGCTTGCTGGCAGAAATATTGGTACACTTGTTGGTATTTTTACTATGACAGGTAAAATAAATAAATGAACTGTTTAATTTTAAAAAATCTAAGAAAATTTTTAATGAAAAATTTATAAAGATAATTATTTTAAAAGGATACAAATGTATAATTTTTTTCTGAATTAGCCAAGCTTGAATAGCTAATAATTAAAGAAATAAAGATAAAATAAATTATTTAGGATGGAAAGTTGTATTAAAAAATTTAATTAATTAATTTTTCAAATTAAAAAATAAAAAAACAAATTTTTTAGCAACGTGGGTAGGGGGTGCTTATATAAACGGAACAGCTGAAGCCCTCTATAATGGCGGAATATTGGGTTGTCAGGCGCCTGTTGGTTATGCTTTGTCTTTAGTTATGGGGGGAATATTTTTTGCCCATCCAATGCGGGAACAGGGTTATGTAACGATGCTAGATCCTTTCCAGGTATTTACCTAATTATTTTATTAAATAAAAATTTTTATTTAAAAAGATAAAATATGGGCAGAGAGTTGGGGGATTGATGTTTATACCCGCATTACTTGGAGAGGTTATTTCTCTTTTTAGAAATGATTTTAAAATTTTATTTTTTAAAGGTTTTTTGGTCTGCTGCTATTCTTTCTGCTTTGGGTTATTTTTTTGAAATAAAATTTTTGATCACAAATAATTCTTACAATTAATTTTTTTTAATTTTTAGGTGCCACATTATCAGTAATTCTTGGTAAGAAATTAATTAAAAATAAATTTAATTAAATTAAAAGGAATGGATATGGCAGCATCAGTTATTCTTTCTGCTTTTATTGCTGTATTTTATACTTTTACTGGTGGCCTTTATGCTGTAGCGTAAGTTTTCAAAATTATTTCATTTTTTAAAAATTAAAATTAAAGGAAAGGAAAAGAGATGTTAATAATTAATTATCCAGATTAAGGAATTTAAAAAAATAAGAAAATCTGTCAAACAAATTAATTAATATTAACTAAAACCCTGCCAAAATGGCCAGTAAAAATCTTAGACGGGTTGATGGTGTAAGGATTAAATCAAACCTTTAATTTTGGTAGGCAGTATTTTTTAATTGGGAATTATTTATCGTAAATTATTTTGATGAATTAACTCTAATTTTAAAAAAAATTAAAGATATACAGATGTTGTCCAATTATTTTGTATATTTATTGGGTTGTGGGTGTGTATTCCAGCAGCTCTTTTACAAAAGAAAACGAGTGATTTATCTGCAAATCCAACCGGTTGGATTGGACAAATTGGAGGGTTAAAAGAGAAATTACTTTGGATTGACTGTATGTTGTTGTTAATTTTTGGTGGAATTCCTTGGCAGGTTTAGAGAGAGGGGAAATAATTATTTTTTTTAATTAAAAAAAGGTTTATTTTCAACGAGTACTTTCTTCCCGAACATCTAAAGGTGCACAAAGATTGTCTTTTGTGGCAGGAATTGGTTGTATTTTAATGGCAATTCCTCCAGCAATTATTGGGGCTATTGCGAGAAATACTGGTTAATTAATTGAAAATAAATTTAAAATTTTTCAATTAAAATATTTAAATTTTTAATTAAAAAAAATATTTTGATATTGAAAAAATTATTTATCAAAAAATTAAAGATTGGTCATTGACCGAATACTCGCCTTGGGGTAACGGAACAAAGACTGTATCAATCCCAGCCGATCAAACATCACAAGTTGTTCCTCTAGTTTTTCAATATTTAACTCCAAAATGGGTTGCTTTTATTGGTTTGGGGGCTGTTTCTGCTGCCGTGATGTTCTTAAAAATATTTTTTGTTAATATTTTGTAAAAATCTTTTAAGGTCGTCAGCTGATTCTTCCGTTTTATCAGCTGCCTCTATGTTTGCCCACAATATTTGGAAATTAACTATTCGTCCCAATGTTTTTAAAAATTTTTTGAAATTAATTTATATTTTTAATTAAAGGCTAGTGAACGAGAAGTTATTTATGTAATGAGAATTAGGTGAAATTCTAATTTAAATAAATAAAAATAAATAATTATTTAAAGTATTATTGCTGTTGGTATATTAGCAACAATAATGGCTCTAACAATAAATTCAATTTATGGTCTGTGGTATTTATGTGCTGATTTGGTTATTAAATTATTTTTTTAATTAAAAAATATTTGTTTTAAATTAAATATAGGTTTATGTAATTCTTTTTCCACAATTATTGTGTGTTGTTTATTTTCATAAAAGTAATACTTATGGGTGTTTAGCTGGATATATTGGTAGATTTAATTAAATAAAATAATTATGTATCTTTTTAAATAAAATATATTTCCCGGTCAACACCATCACCAAAAATTTTAGTCCCATATGTGGTCTCTATATTCGTCTTTAAAAAATATTTTTACTAATAATTTACTTTCTATTGAAAATTAAAAAAATTTTTCAAAATTATTTTCCAGTTGGACTTATTCTACGACTTTCTGGAGGAGAAGCACTTTTACACTTTAAAGCAATAATTCATTACCCTTTGTATATATTTATTTAAATTAAATTTAAAAATATTTCATTTCCTTAATTAAAGTTATGACCCTTCAACTTCAATTCAATATTTTCCTTTTCGAACAATGTCAATGCTTGCTAGTTTATTAACAACAATATTTATTTCTAAATTTACAACAAATGCTTTTCTTAATGGAAAATTGCCGCCAGAATGGGATATTCTTGGATGTGTTGTTAATCTACCTACAGATTCTTTACGTTTGCCTGACACTAGGTAAAGAAAATTAAAATATTTTGTCAATAAAATTAATTATCTTTAATATTCTCGGGCTAGATATGTGCTTTTATAAACATTTCTAATTTATATTTAGCGATTGTTATTCTATTATTTTATTATTCATCTTTTTAACTTCAATTTATTTAAGATCTCATCTTGTCTATTATAGTTTTTATAGAAACAGTCCTTTTTATGTAGCATTGAATTTAAAAAAGTTAATATCATCTAATAGTTATTGTCAAATATATTTTTAGATGAATTTTGAGGGTCATTGGGCCTCTTTAATTTTATGGGGCCTTTCTAATTTTGGGCCTCTTTAATTATACAATTTACTTAAATTCTTTTAAGCAGTTTTAATGCTTCAACAATGTCAGTAAATAGTAGTGAATTAACTTTACAGCGTCTCTCTAATGGAAATACACAAAATGGACATTTAAAAGGTGGACAACAAAATTTGGCTGTTGCTTCTGTTTGTATGTTTTTGTTTTAAATTAAAAAAATTTTTTTTAACCCAGCTCCACTTTTACATCCGGATGGGAAAATTGTTAATAATAATCGTGATTATGCTTCTATTAATTAATTTTTGCGACGTTTAAATATATCGCTCACATTATTATTTTTTCAAATTTTTTAGAATCATTTAAAATTCTCTTATTTTTAAAAGCAAATAATTCTTTACAGAAAAATCCCAAAATCTTTAATTAAGGCCACAAAATCTTTTAGAATCTGATACAGATCACAAACATTGTTTATCTGATCTCTTCTCTTTAAATTTCTTCAAAAATTAGTTTTTCTGATCTCAAATTTTCTTTTACCGGTTTAAAATTTTTTATTTTAAATTTATTAATGGATTTATATTTATTTAAAATGTTTTTAAAACGTTTATTTTTGGTAATAATTTTTAAATTTAAATCCATTCTCTTTGAAATTAAAGTTTGTAGATATTTTTTTAAGAAAATAAAATTATTTTAAAATTAAATATTTTTTGTTAATTTAGAGGGTAATTTCTAAATATAAATTTGTACATTGGAAAAATTTTGAAGGGATTGGCAATTAAAGAAAAATATTTTTAAGGTTATGGGGATTGAATTAAATTACTAAAATAAAGTAAAACATGGAAATGGAGTTTGTATAGTATTTTATTGTCTGAATTACTTATCCTCAGAATTTATTGTAAATCTCCTCAACTCAATTAACAAACTCCATTTATTAAAAAAATATTTACATAAAAATAATATATATTTTTTAATTTAAAAAACCGGTATTTCTTTTCCCATCTTTAAAAAATAAATAAATTCTTTTTCTATAATATCCATAAAATAAATATTATCATTAACAAATTCCACGATATCTGAAGTTTATTTGACGATGATTCTATAAAAAATAATTTTTTGATTTAAATTTAAAATTCTAAATTTACCCAAATATTCATTAAAAATTGTTGTCAAATCCAAACTTTCCAAATTTCCGTTTTCTAAATTTTCTTGTTCCAAAACATTCGAAGAAATTCCTCCTCCTTCTTCTGCCCCAAAAATTATCTTTGATTGTTTATCATCATTATCCGTATGTATTACATAAAGAAAAGGGGGATGTTGTGAAGAGGTTGGAAGTAATTCTTTTGAATTTTCTTGAGGGTTGGGGTTTTCTTCTTTGGATTTGTGGTGGTGATGGTGGGGATGGGTGTGGGTGTGATGTTTTGTATGTCTGTGATGAATTGTTTGGTTATTTGAAGAATTTTGTTGTTTTTGTTGTTCTGATGATGAAATTATTAATTGTTGATGTTGGTGATTGTCTATTAAATCTATTTGAAAAATTATTTTTTAAGAAAAATTGTAGGGAATTTTTGTAAAGAAATTTTGAGATTTGTTAACAATTTTTGTTTTCTATAGAAGAATTTAGAAAATTACAAATAATTTTTAGGTTAAAAAAAGCAGTTAAATATAACCATTCTCATTTGAAGAAAAAGAAGGTAAAACATCAAATTTTAATCTCATATTTCTTGTCGAACACAAACCACCCTGTGTATTATTTAAGCCATTTAAAGTACCATTAGATGTTGCTAAAATAATAAGTAATTTGGATTTTGATATGAATTTTTTTCTTTTTTTTTAATGATTGAAGATTTATTTATTTTCAAAATTCAATTTAATCCAAAAAATTTCTCTCCTATCAACAAGTTTGAGCTAGAAAAGAGTAATTTTCAAAGAAGGAAGGAGATTTTAATTATCAACAAAATTACTTTCAATTTTCCAAATTAAAAAATTAAAAAACAAACTTATCACAAAATAAGAATGTCCAGGTTTAAAAGTAAAGGCTGAGGGTAAAGGAGAAAATTCTCGAAAGACAAGTGTAATGGAGGATTGGCGATCTGGACTTGAACAAACACCTAATTGGCGTTCACCTCCATTGAGAAAACAACGTTCATATGAATCTCTGGACACCTTTAAATAATTTAAAAAATTAAAATAAATTTTCCTTTTATGTAATTAAAAAAAAAAGAAAAATTTTTAACAGCTCTTTTTTTCTCTCACTTAATGACCTTAATCTTTTTTGAGGGGTCTTTTGTCGGAAAAAAAGAGAAAGATGATAAGCTGAAGAGGCGGATATTTTTAATTGAAAAAGAGAAAATTAAAAAAAATTAGAGAAAAGGATGGGGATAATCTTATAGAGAAACGGGTCAATGAGTGCCTAATTTGAAGCAATTCTTCTTTTTCGTATAAAAAAATTAATTAAAAAATATAGATTGCAAAAAATTTTCTTTTTAAATATAAATTTTGTTTTTAAATAATTAATAAAATTAGAGCTCGAACCCAGTCGGGCCCAGTTGCCCAGGAACCTTGTCCGGGGTTTAGCCCAGAAAACCCAGGCCGGGTCAGTTTGAAAGAAAAAACCGGATACCAGGCCCGGCAATTTGAAAAGTTAGATTTTTAATTGGAATTAACAAAGATACATAAATTTATATGTACATATGTATTTTAAAAGAACAAAATATAATTATTTTAGCTTTTTTATTAATCTCCAAAAAATATTACAATACTATTCTAATTAAATTTTAATATTAAATTTCAAAAAATATCTTAAATAAAATATTTAAATAAATATGTATTTACTTTTCCTTTTTTTATTAAAATATTTTTATTATTTTTTGTTTACTTTATTATTATTTTTTTATTTCACAGTTGGAGTTTGAGAGAATTTTTTTTTGCAAATCTCTTATTATTTTAAAATTAATGAGAAATTATTTGAAATAGGTAAATTAGAAAAAAATTATTAATTAATTAGTATTTTTAAATAAAAAGATGTACTTTTTTTTCTTTTCTTTTAACAAAAATTTTTTATAAAAATTCTAATTTATTATATCCATAACACATATTTTTATTTATTATTTTATATATAAATTGCCCAGCAGGTGTTGAAGATAATGAACTGAAAAAGGGAATGAAGCAGAAGGAATTAGGGGGTATAATAATAAATGAAAATGATGTGAAATTGGATGCTTTTGCCACAAAATAAAAATAATAAATTTATTACAATTTATTACTTCCATAGCAACAATAACAAAATACATCTCTCAATAAATAAGGATGGCAATTAAAAAACACAAAATTTATTAAATATAAAAGAGATTATTACTTAATTTAAATTTGAATAAATATAGTAAATAGTAAAAAATAAAAAATTCTTAAATACCTAATTGGGGGCTTGCTGATAACTTGCTGAAAAATTTTTGGCCCTTAACAATCTTGGTACCAATCTCTTTAGCTAAATGAGTGGAATTGTTTAATACTAAATTTGGTAAGATTAGAAATTCTTGAAACAAGTTATGGCTTTGCGCCTTTATGGCCCTAATTGTCTAAAATGCCCATATTGTTTGACAAGACAAGATGGGCATGCAATTACTACTTCAATCTCTAAATATTCCCTTTTTAAATTATCCAAAAATATAACTATTTTTTTGTTTTTCCTTTAAAAATTTTATATTAAATTAACTAAAATTTAAATAAATTTATTTCTGTCACGCAAGACATTTATATTAAAACAAATAATCAAGAATATCCCTCGTTCTTTTTATTCATTTCCATGCCCAATTAGTTTGGAATTTTAAAATAAAATAAATTTATTTTATTTTATTTTAATGTCCATTCCCTCCCCCTTATTTTCTTTTCTCTTTTATTTTATTTTTGCAGACAACCGCTATATTTCTAGGTCTCAAATTAGTTGTTTGGTTTCAAGTAAAAATATATTATTATGTAGAGAAAATAGATGAAACAACCAATTATTTTGAGGGAAAATTGGAAAAATAAAAGAATTTTTTGATAAAAAAATATTTTTTATTTTGTTATTTTTAAATAAAATTAAAGAGGATTGCGAATATATTATTTATTTTGTTAAAATATTCTTCATTAGGGTTGGAGGCCGGGTCCGGCCCGAAAGATCGAGCCGTGCTTCGAATTTTGGCCCGAAAAAGACACGGTCGGGCTGTCCCGATAAAAATGACCCGAACGTCGGCCCGACTCGAAAACTCCAACCCTCTTCTTCATGCTTAAAAAATCTTAACTATGTATTATTATTTTCTACTATGTATGTATTATTATTTTCGATCCCTATACTATTTTTAAAAAAACTTTTTAAAATTATTTTTTTTTTCTAAATTTCCACAATTTTATTTAAATTTGGCAGAAAATGACCAAAACCACCCCCTTTTCCCTTTTCCTTTTCAACATTAAATTTTTGTTAAAGAAAATCGGATTTCATTTACTAGAAAAGAAGATAAGCGAGAGAAAATGTCCTCCTTCCCCTCCCTAGAGGAAAAGAAGAATTAGAAAATAAAATTAAATATACAAGTATTTATTTGTTAGCTAATTTATATGTTTATTTATTTATTGAAAATAACAAATTGACCAGAAAATTAAAGAAAGTTTTTTTAAAAATAAATTTAATTTGAAGATGAAGAACTGCAAGTCCTCCTCCTCTTTAAAAGAAAAATAAGAGTAAATTGACTTAATTGTTTATTTAATTATTAGAAAAGGTTTCGATAAATCATTGAATGTATTAAGGATTTTTTAAAATTATTTAAAATTATTTATCTTTTATTTATTTATTAAATTCCCCCTTTTAATTTTTATAAAAATTTGAAAGAATTTTTAAAGAGAAGCTTTTGTCAAGCAAATTGATTGTTTAGAAGGAAGTATAGAAGAGGAAGGAATGTTGGAAGATTTTTACTACAAAAACGGAAGTAAATTAAAGGAAAGAAAATTTAAAAAAAATTGTTTTTAGAAAATTTTAAAAAGTTAATTTTGAAATTAGTTTTTAATATTTTTGAAAAAATATAAATATGTAGAAATAAATTTAAAATTTTTTTTTGATATTTTTTGAAATCTGAGAAGTCTAAAATTTAAAAGATTTCGATAATTTTTTAATTTAAAGCATATAAAGTTGTGAAAAAATGTGGAGATTAATTAAAAACTTTAAATTTTATTTAAAATTGTAATTAATTAAAATAAAAGAAACTTGCCATAAATAATTTAGAATGTTCATATTCATCTGCCACAGTAACTGGTGGAGGACAAAGTAAAGTTATTCTATCTAATAAATTAACTCTTTTTACATGTTCTGTGTTGCTCATGTCAAATCTGTAAATTTAAATAAATTTTTGTTTAAATTTTATTTTTAATTTTAATTAAAATATTTCAAATTTATTTATTTAATTCCTGCTGTGAATTTATAAATATTGACACTGAAAAAATAAAATATATAATAAATAAAATTCTAGTTTTTAGCAAAAACAACAATACATAGCTGGATACATATCTCTTTTAATTATTAAATTATAAAAACAAGGTCAAAACAATGAGAGAACTTTTGATTTTTAAAATTAATAATAAAACCTTCTAAACAATTAAATTATTTTTATTTTTAATTAATTTATACTCATTTAAAGCTAATATAAATTTTCAAATTAATTTTTATTTATCTTTTTCCAAAAATTCTTTTAATAAAAAATAAAATCCATTAATTCCCACAAAACCCCCCATTTCCTTATTTTTTTATTTATATATTTACTAACAAACAAGATGGACATGTTTTTCTTATAAAGAAATTGTACAAAAAAGGGGAAAAGAACAAACAATGTTTTGATGGTGGTCGATTAAATGGATAATATAAAAAAATTAAAATACCTAATAATTATATTATTTTACTTTTTATTTAAATTGAAAAAAATTAAATATTTAAAAACGAGGATCTGTCATCATATAGTATTTTTAAATTAGATAAATATATTTCTTGATAGAATTTTTTAACATAACCTGACCAAAGAAATAATTGAAAACCCCGGCCCAAACCCCTATATTCTCCTTTACTATTCCAAACTTTTAAGTATTTTCCACTAAATAAAAATTTTCTTATATTTTAATTACTAGCATTTTTCAAAATTTATTTAAAACAAATATTTTTTTAAAATAATTATCTATATTTTATTTCAACGTTTATTCAATTTTATTTGTTTTATTCGAATCAAATTTTATTCAATCGTTCCAAGTCATTATCTAATATTTTTTGAAGTATTTTACACTTTAATTATTTAATAATTATTTTTATTTTCTTTAAAATAATTGTGAACATTTTCTTTCCTTATTGCTAACAAAAAAAACTTATTTTTTCGTTTTTAAGTAAAATAAAAAAGAAAATATGAATGAAAAGCCCAAAGTTGATTAACGAGTGTTATTATTTAAGAAAAGAATTGTAAAAAAAGAAATAATAGATGGGATAAAATGTCACCAAAAAAGAGTAATTTTTATTATTTTTAAAGAAAATATATTCATAAAAATGCTACAATTGAATAAAAAAAAGAGAAAAAAAAGTTGAGAAAATTAAGGTAAAAAAGTAGTAATGTCGCCAAACATTGGCGACTTTTTTGTTGAATTATCTTTTCGGGTAATTGTCCCCCATTTACTTTTCGTTAATTTTTTAGCCGTTCACCCCGTATTTTTTGTTGTCCACTCAACTTTTTTCCCGCCAAAATTCCTTTGTCTAATTTTTTTGTGACAGCTTGCGCCTGTCACAACTTAAATTTTTCCTATTGTTTTTTCTACTTGTTTTCTCTGCCCCGTTCTCTCTTCACATTTTTGTTTTCTATAATCTATGTACGCATTAATTTCAAGTTTGCATTTTTTTGAGTTTTTATTGCCAAACCCCGCCTTTTTTGTGTCTATTTAAGAAGCAGATCAGCCCCACAAATATGCTCACTTCTCATCCATTAACTGCTTCCAACAACTCCTGTGTGGCTGATCAACTGCTTCTGGCCCTAGCTGGCCTTACTTGTTTGTGTTCAATTATCCTTGCCCTAGCTGGCACTCTGCTTCAATTGTTTATTTTTTTTGGTGTGTTTGAAAATAAATTTATTTGTTGGTGGACTTGTGTGTTTTTTGGTGTATTTTAAAGTGAACGTGCTCCGTTCACTTCTGCTTCCTTGGTGAACGGCACTACCGTTCACCACTACTCCTTGGCTTAAGTGACTCGTGCTCCGAGTCACTCACTGCTCTTCTTCTTCCTCCTTCGACTGTGTTGGCACTACCAACACAGTCTGGTGCTAGTGCCACATTTCACTAGCTGGTGCCACGACTCTTTTCTCCAAATCCAATTTGTCGGGACCTCCCGACTCCCGACAAAGTGGTGCCACGACCCGGGAAGACGGGGACAACGACAACTACTACACCACCACCAACAATCACCACCACAGCAACAGCTACTACAACCACTATCTTTTTGTTTGCGAGCGGAGCTACCGCACAACTACTGCTGAAGTGTGCTGAGCAACAGCCACGACAACAACTACTCTGTTTGGTGTGAGCTGAACGACAGCCACAACAACAACAACTACTATTGCTGACGTGAGCTGAGCAACAGCCACAGCAACAACCACCACTACAACTTCAACTAGTGTGTGAGCGGAGCCACCGCCACATCACTCTACAACAACCACTCTATTTTTTGTGTGTGAGCTGCACTACAGCCACCACCACAACACTACTACACCAACTACTTCAACCTTGTGTGTGAGCGGAGCCACCGCCACAACAACTTCAACTATCCGTTCCTTTTTGGTTGAGCTGAACAACAGCCACCACAACTACAACTACTCTTTGTGAATTGAGCTGAACAACAGCCGTCACAATGTCAGCAGTCATCCGGTTACAACTGGCCACCGTTTTGGCAACGCTTAAAGTAAAAGGCCGTGCAGTTCTCACCGTGCTGAATGCCACTGACACCACTGTGGATGAAGACGATCGTTTAGAGGCAGATGTTGTCCAACTTAGAGAAGCCGCTGGTCGGGCCCAAGTACTGGTGGACACATGGTCTGATATGATTGCTCGACTCATGCCAACTGAACAACAAGACGAAATGGACATCCTTCAAGCCTTTCCGCCGCCTAGAGGCGAAGTCAGAGAGGATGATGAACCAACCGCGTTAGCACAAATTGAACATGCTTATGAATTGGTGGATTTGGTCAATGTATGCCTGCAACAACGAAGAAATGGCGGTCGTGGTTCCGTCTCTTCCCAACGAACTGGAAATTCTTTTATGACCACTCAATCATTACAGCAACTTGAGGAACAGCCTGAACTATATGCTCTTCCACCACAATCACCAGTTGAGGAATATGGTTGTTCACTGTGCCACACTGGACCAACACACAAGCCAAGCCGTTGTCCAATGTTCAACAACCGCAACAGACGCAAAGCCCGTCTTCTGGAACAGGGCCGGTGCCTCAACTGCTTATACGATGGTCACATGCTCAACAAATGCCGTGCTGCCAATAAATGCCGTAGATGTGGAGGCCGACACCACTTCATGCTGTGTACACAACGTCAACCGAAAAAGCGTGTGTACTACCCAAATGGTCACCACGATGGACCGTCTAAAGCCAATTGGAGACAAACTCAACCCAGAAAGTGTGTGTACTACCCAACTGGCCACCACAAAGGACCATCTGAAGCAAATTGGAGAGTTCCTACACCATCGCAGCCTGAAGTGACCTACTCTGGAATGGTCATCAATAGCTCAACCAATGTCAAGTCAGAAGCTGACACCAAGTCGTCAACTAGCTCAACCAACCGTCATCGTCGACGCAGAGTCTGGATTAACTCAAAGCTAAAGACCAACCGGCGCAATCCAGCCGACGTGAAAGTAACTCCACAAGGCGAGAAAGCAATTGTTGACAATACCACAGCAGCAACCAAAAGTATATATAGCTCAATGGTAGCATCTAGATGTCTTTTTGGCTCTGTTAAATGGAAACGGCGTCCTGACCAGAATTGGACTCTTCGCAACAGTAAAGTGAGACTAGGATTTGACTGTTTGTTGGCTGTCCTCACGTGCTTATGGCTCATCAACAGAATGTACGCCGGCTCCACTGCCCTCTTCAAATGCTCATCTATGCATTTTCTGTTGATGCTGGCCCTTCTACTGCTTGTTGGTATTGCCTGTTGGTGTAAACAAATTGTACGAAATGCTCAACGAAAGCCATTGCAATCATCAATGACCTCAAAGGATGGAACCTTCGCAGCTGCCACAAATCAAACGTCAACGAGCTTTTCTAACGCTGGCAAATTTTTGTGTGTTACCCAAGCTGGGACTACCGCGGCTGTCACGTGTGGAATTACCGCGGGTGCTACTGAAGGAATTACCAAGTCTGCTACTGAACAAATAACTAGAAATTGTTCTACCGTTACAAAAATGAATTTGTGTGCTACCCAAACGGGAACTACCCGAGCTGCCGCAACCAAAACAAATTTACTATCTGAGTGCGCATCACGACATCGACCATGGAAAAGTTGTTCATCACGACAAGGACGACAACGAGAAAGCCAGGTAGTGGAGTGCCGCCCCTCACCAAAAGCTCTTGAAAGGGGAACAAGCGAAAGTGCACTCCACGACCATCATCACTGCTCTGGACAATCAAATGCGCCTATTCAACGTCCTGTCAACTTGTCATCGGCACTGACTCGACACCCCACTGGCTCATTGGCCCTGATAGATGACTGATGAAAAGACAGATGACGATGAAGAATATTTGTGATTTGTTGGGCGGGGGGAGTGTCGCCAAACATTGGCGACTTTTTTGTTGAATTATCTTTTCGGGTAATTGTCCCCCATTTACTTTTCGTTAATTTTTTAGCCGTTCACCCCGTATTTTTTGTTGTCCACTCAACTTTTTTCCCGCCAAAATTCCTTTGTCTAATTTTTTTGTGACAGCTTGCGCCTGTCACAACTTAAATTTTTCCTATTGTTTTTTCTACTTGTTTTCTCTGCCCCGTTCTCTCTTCACATTTTTGTTTTCTATAATCTATGTACGCATTAATTTCAAGTTTGCATTTTTTTGAGTTTTTATTGCCAAACCCCGCCTTTTTTGTGTCTATTTAAGAAGCAGATCAGCCCCACAAATATGCTCACTTCTCATCCATTAACTGCTTCCAACAACTCCTGTGTGGCTGATCAACTGCTTCTGGCCCTAGCTGGCCTTACTTGTTTGTGTTCAATTATCCTTGCCCTAGCTGGCACTCTGCTTCAATTGTTTATTTTTTTTGGTGTGTTTGAAAATAAATTTATTTGTTGGTGGACTTGTGTGTTTTTTGGTGTATTTTAAAGTGAACGTGCTCCGTTCACTTCTGCTTCCTTGGTGAACGGCACTACCGTTCACCACTACTCCTTGGCTTAAGTGACTCGTGCTCCGAGTCACTCACTGCTCTTCTTCTTCCTCCTTCGACTGTGTTGGCACTACCAACACAGTCTGGTGCTAGTGCCACATTTCACTAGCTGGTGCCACGACTCTTTTCTCCAAATCCAATTTGTCGGGACCTCCCGACTCCCGACAAGTAAAAAGGGCTTTGAAAATTAATTATTCTACTAAATATGAAGGAAAGTGAAGAAAAATTATGTAAAATTGGTGTAAAAAATTAATTAAAAATCTTAAAATAAATTATTTGAACTTTAAAAAATTTAAATTTTAGTTTAATTTTCTAGATACAGTATATACTTTATTATTTACCCTCCCTCAAATAATTACCCCGTCTTTATTTCTTAAAAATACTCCTTAAAAATAGTTAAAATTATCCTTCTTAAAATAACCTCTATCAATTACCCTCTCCAGTGAAATGTCGAAACAATAATTACTCAGGGTAATTAATAGAGTATATACGGTAAATTTATTTCTTTTTAATTTATTTAATTTTTTTTCTTTTCAATTTCCTTTCTATTTAATATGCAATATCAACTTTTATACTATATCAATTTTTAATTTTCTCGAAGAAATCTAACCATCTTTAACTGATAATGCTAATCCCATCTACAAATAAAATATCCAACAAAAATAATCCGAAAGAGAATAACTTCTAAACTTGTTTTCTTCTCTTTATTTTTTTAGATGATAAGAGAGAAATTATTGGGGGTTAATTTCCCTAGAAGTTTTCTTTCAGAAATTTTTTAAGAATTAAAAGATAAAATTTCTTGTATTTATGTAAATATATTTTTTATTAAAAAAGTTATTTCCCCTCTATAGGCCAAAAATAAGGGTCATCTTCTGTTCAAGGGCCATTGATTCAGTTTTGAAGGACAGTAAAAGCACAAGAAAAAGGGTTATTTTTTAGCTACTAGTCCAAAATGAACGTTAAAAAAGTCCCTCTCTTATTTATTTACTTAAACCATTCATTGACCCTCTCGAGAACGATTTATGTAGTCTGTGAGAGAGGAAAGGAGGGTCTTTATCTAACCTTGATAGATTCAATACTAGGAGAAGAATAGGAACAAAATTAATGAAGGTAATAAATACTAAAAGTTACAAATAATTTTACTTTTATTTTGATTTTTTTTATAATTTTAGGATCTATCAAAAATAAAATTTATAAATAGATAATTGAAAAGTTTATAAGAGAAAAGGGTTTACCTCTCGCAATCAAATCGGACTCAGTTAATTATTGATAAGTATGTATATTAATTAATTAACGGTCCATAATTAGGAGTGATTGGTGAGTGACTATAACCGTTGAATTATTTAAGGTAAATCAAAAGTATTTCGAAAAAAGTCCCCTTACTGTATTATTATTTAAAATTAAATAGAAAAATAATTTTAAAAAATCCATCAATCATTTTACAACCAAAAATGCCGACAATGAAAAAGGTCAATTTCCCGATCAGTCATCAGTCAAATTGAATGTTCATTTTATATAACAGAATCGCGCCATATGTGCTTATTTTAACTGACAATACCCTTCAATGGAATTTTAATAAAATAACCTTGAAAATATTTTTTATTTTTTTGCCAGGAATTTAAAAATAAATAATAAGGAAAGGAAGGTTTTTAACTATATTTTCCAAAAAAAAATCAAAACAAAAAACAAATCCCTCTCCAAATTTCTATCTAAACCAAACATAAACAAACAAACACTTAAAACTGTTATTCGATACCTCTAAATATTTCCCCTTAAATTTTCCAAAAAGAATTACACAATCGCCAGTGAGTATTCCCTTTCTTCTTTCTTCAGAAAAAAAAATACTTTTAAAAATCCCTCACAAAAAATATTATATTTCAACTAAATTGTTTTCTATCCAAAAATCTGCATTTTTTAAACTGCTCTCCCCTCTTCTTTCAAAACACCTGCCCATCTTCAATACATCTTTTAACGAAAAATATCTAGAAATATACCGCGCATCGGCACAAGAAAAAAGGACGAAAAAATGAAAAAGACCCGACACTTGACAACAAAATGAGATTTTTATTTATTGTGGTCGCATGCTTGAAGAAGGAAAAGTATTTTTAAACCGAAAAATATTTTTTTCTATTTGAGGATATGTAAGCCATAGAATATATCATTTAGTGTTGATTTAGAAGAATTTAAATTCAATGACAATAAAAGAAGGAATTTTAAAAAAAGTGATGAAAAATTAAAATCTCAAATCTCTAACAGCAATAAAAATATTCAGTCACTAATTGCCACAAAGGTGTGGGATTTCATGTTTTATTCAAAAAATATCTCTTCAAAAAATTCCTTAAATTATTTTCTATTTACACTTATGTAAATATATAAAATTTAAATTTAATTGAATGTGACAACAAATGGTGGTCGCGCAAAATATGTAAGAAAAGAATTGAAGCAAAAAAATAAATTGGGGAAAGGGCACAATTGTTTGAAGGAGAAGGAGGGGGGATTTGATTATTTTTTATTTATTTTTATTTATTTTGCGGTCGATTCGACAGAATTGGGTTAAATTGGGCACGTCCGCTAATTTTATTTTTCAATTCTCTTCTCTTTATTTGCACTCAAATAAAATAAAATATATATAACGTGCCGCAAAAGCACATGAAAATATACAAAACAAATTTAAGCAGAAAATTAGAGGGTTATAAAGAAGGGAGGGAAAATAAGAGACCGGAATTTCTTAGAAAAAAAGGGATTTTTTTGAATTTATTTTTTAATTTTATTTTTTTAATTTTTTTAATAAAATTTTTTAAAAAAAACTTACATAATATTACTCGATAGCCAATTCAAGTCTGGCAGCTTTCTAGCAGCCGCTGCCCTATTACCCCTTCCACCACCGGTCAGTAACAGGAAGAAGAGAAGAAGAAAAATAAGGAAATTTAGCCTGGCAAAAGAGTGCCTTAGGTCAAGAATTAAGGGAAAATAAAGAAATAATGGTGGACATTTTGGCATTTGGAGGGATAATGTAAAAAAGTATTAAAAGTAGTTAAAAGGAATTATTTCTTTTTAAATATACTTATCCACAAGTTGAAAAAGAAGAAAAAGCCATTTAAATGAAAAGGAAAAATAAAACATTTCCTTGCTGAAAAGTGGATATTTAATGATTATTTTATTAAAATTTGTAGAAAAAAATTATAAAATTTATGGGAGAGTAAAATATATATTAATTAAAATGTGTAAATATTAGAGGTTGGTGTGAGACGGATTTACGGGATTTTGTATGGCCCGACTCGTAATCCCGTACATTAATTTGAGAGATTTTGAAAGAATTGATTGAATGTTTTGATAGATTATAAGAACCCTTATCCTAGGAAATCCCAACTAAAAAACGATGAAGGGTTGTTGGTTATTAAATCTTAAATTTCAGATCCTTGAAAATTTTCTAGTAGAAAGTTTTTGTTAGAAAATTAGTTAATGAACGTTAAAACTAAAACTCAAAGCTAAAATTTAGAAAAAAATTTTGACAAAAAATTAAAAATACTCGAAGACATTTAGATAAGTAAATATACCTACTATCTATATTTACTTATAATTGAATAAGAATACATATACCTATTTAAAAAAATGGAATTAAATGCCGAACAAAAATAAAAAGCTGGACAAATATTTAAATAAGAGGGTAAAGCAATGTTTTTACGGGAAAGGGTTTAACGTTGACAGTTTTGTTATAAATACTAGCTAAATACAAGCAGCAAAAATAAATATAAATAAACGATTGTTGAATGGAAAGAATGGGAAAGAAGTAAATGCCTCGGCGGGAAAAGAACCGCTCCTCCATCTCCTCCTCCTCCCCTTCTCTTAAGCAATGAATATTTTAAGGGGAAGAATGGGAAAGCTAAGAAGAAGGATAAGAAGAAGGAGAAGAAGGATAAGAAGCTCCGCCTATTTTAGTAAAAATAAAGGAAATTTGGTTCTAGTTTTGAGTAAACTGCGCGAGTTTATAATTAAGGAGATAATTATAATAAAAATTAAACTTGATTAACTTTTATATTTTAAGGTATTTTTAATTAGGTACTACATATCTTGTTTTTTAATTGAAATTTTCTGAGCTACATTGCTGAATGATATTTAACTTCAATGTCTCTTTAAATAATTAGGTATGTATTTTTCAACAAAGACCGGTTCCGGGATCCGGAACTCAAATTGGATCCGGTTCCGGTCAAAATTTCAGTTCTGGTGAAACACTAATAAGCATAAGAGAATTTTTCTGTTTTATTTCCAATAAATTAAATCTAAATTTGTCTCAATTAGCCAATCGCACAATTATAATTAAGTTTCTTGTCAATTCCCTTTCTTTTGTAATTTATTTTTTCTTTCCCCCACCAATCCAGCCATTAAAAAAGATGAAGGCCCGTCTAAAGAATTAGTCTGTTGTTGTGTTGAACTAGTCGAATGCCTTGTTTGGACTGTTATAGAAGCCGAAGTTTCATCGCTTCCAAATTCATTTGTTGCTATACAAGTGTAGATACCGGCATCCTTTAATTTTAAAAAATAAAATAAAAATTAATTAGAATTACCTCCATTTTAATATTAAAAACTTCTAAAGAAGCAACTCCACTTTTAAAAAGTGCTTGTGCCCGTTGATCATCTACCGGTTTTCCATCTTTTATCCATTTAATTTTTGGTGGAGGGTCTGATGTAACTGTACAAATTAATTTACAAGTGTGGTTCTTTTGGATAAGGCGAGGCCGAAGTAAGAAACTGAAATGAGGAGGGCCTTTTTCAACAATTGATGTAGTGGATGCTTCTTGAATAATTGGTTGTCGAATTGTAGGTATTTGTTGTGGGAGGATTTCTTTTTAAAATTATTTAATTATTATTTAGTTTCATTATCCTTTCAGAGTTTAAAATATTAGAAGAATTCCTAGAATTATGATTCCTTTCTCTAACAAAGCCCGTCTCTATTAAAAGCCCTTAATTAATAAAAACCCATCTAAAATGATATTTTATTATTTCCCTACTTTTTCCATCCTTCACTAGTACAATTAGCATTGCACTACATTCTCTCTTGCCAAATTCATTCTCTGCCCTAACCAAATAATCTCCTTGATCTTCACTTTTTATTTCAGTTATTGTCATTGCCCTATCATTTCCATTCCTTTGTTGACGATATTTTCCAAAAGACCCATCAGATATTTTTATTTCCTTTTCATCTTTCCACCTAATTTTTAAAAAGAAATTCAAATAATTTCTTTTATTAAAAATTAACCAGCTTATACGCATAGGTACAGGCGAAAGTATTTTATAAAAGAAAGAAGCATTCATTCCTTCATTTGCTTGTGTTGGTCTAGGCCGAATGATAAAACGAGGAGGCCCATCATTTTGATCAAAAAGAGTTTCACGTATTTTGTACCGATCAGAATGAAGTTTGGATAGAGAGCTAAATTGTGATATACGGCCGAGAGAAAGTCGAGGTTCGGGCCAAGCATCCTTAAATATTTAAAGAACATTTCTACAGCTAAAGAACAGTTTATAGCCTAAGCATTTTTGGTTACTAAACATAGCTTGTTTCGAAAAAATATTTAAATTATCCTAATCTGAAATTTTCCTATTTTTTAGAGCAAAATAGCCTTCGTTCCCTATTTAATTAAAACATTAAAATTATTTTTACATATTTTCTCCGAACAAATTCTCGAGATTTGTAGTATCTCTCTGAAGGAATAATATTTTCATTCATATTATTTTTATCTCTTCTCTGCGTAAGCCAAGGATGATTCAAAGCTTCGTGTATATTCATTCTATATTGTTTATCCTCAACAAGTAATCTTCGAATAAAATCTTTAGCTTCTTCTGATATATTTTCAAATTCTGATTTTTTGTTTATTTCATTCAAAATATTTCCATCAAAATTAGAAATGCCAGAAAGGAGAACTTTAGTAAGAATTCCAATATTCCACATGTCTGTATTAAACCCAATCTTTTGTCCACTTAAAACTTCGGGTGAGGAATATTCGGAATTGACTGAAATGTTAAAAAAATTATTTTTTATTAAAAATTCCAAAAAAGTACCTGTTGCAATTTTAACTTCTTTGCCCGGATTTAATTTAGTTGTCATGCTAAAATCATTAATTTTTAATTTATCACTTGTTTTTGTAGTAAATAAAATATTTTCTGGTTTTAAGTCCAAATGTACATAAGATAACTATAATTAAATTAAAATAAAAAATTATTTAAAATTAACTTCATGCATATATTTAATTGCCTCACAAATTTGTCTAATATAATTTTGAGCTTTCCACTCATTCATTTGTTTATCTTTACTAATTTTTTCAAGTATTTCATCTCCTGACATAAACTATAAAAATTAAAATATAATAATTATTTAGCTTAAATTTCTTAAACAAAAAACAAAATTTAAACACGTTGTGGGAACTACGTGCTCTCAAGGCAAAAGTCTAAATTGTTAATTAGCAAGATTGCCAATATTTCCGAAATATCTATAGCGACCAAAACAAGTATGGATATTTTGTAAAAATTGCTTTATAAGATTTTTATGTTGAAGAAGTCAAGGGAGATATAATAAATTTACTTACTTCGAACATTCATAATTTTATTATTTAAATAATTTATACCTCATATATCATGACAATTTCATGATCCATTTCAAAGGCATCATGTAAAGAAATTAGGGAAGAATGTTTTAATTCAGACATTATCCTATCATTTTTAAAATTATAATAAATATTAATAATTAATTTATTACCCAATTTCCTCCCTAACAATTTCTTTTTGTTTATCTCCCCCAAGTATTGGAATAAATTTGGCAGCAAAAATATTCCCCGTTTTCTTCTCCAAACATCTGTGAACTACGCCAAATGCCCCTGTCCCAATTTCTTCAAGAATTTCATAATCATCGTAAATTGAATGGTCTTTTTTGATAACGACTTTAGGAGTATGATAATTGTCCAAAGAATCATTAACTAATTACATAAATAAATTAATTGAAAATATTTTTAAGAAAAAATGGGAATATTTAAATGAAAGTAAAAATAAATTTTATTTTTTTGTAAATTTTAAAATATTTTAAATTTTATTGGAGTTGACATGATATTGTTGTTGGATTACCAAATTTATTCTTTAATAATTCACTTACCCATTAAATCATATTTGTCAGTCTGTATGTAATTATTCTTTGATTTTCCACGAACCAATTTACCGGTATCATCAACTAATTATTTTAATTAAAATTTTTTATTTAAAAATATTATTAAATAAAATTAATATTATACAAACTCCTCCCATTTCATAACCTCCTAAAAATATTATTTGATGGGACAAAATTAGTTAATCTATGTATAGCGTCAATGGTGTTGAAAAGTATATAAAATAGAAGATATCGCTTATCTATCCACACAGTTACCTCGAGGGTGTTATAAATTAGGAAGGTATATAAGTTAGATCAGATTGTATTAATAAATTATTAAATCAATTAATAAAGTTCAAAAATTATTATTAATAAAAATGTTTTTCTTTTATTAAAGTTAACCATATTTTTATTTAGAATATTTAAATCAATTTATTTAAAAAAATTTTTTTAATAAAATCAACGGGTTGAGAGAAAATTGAAAATATAATTTTGGATATATTAAAGAGCTTTTTTGATAAAAACATAGAAAATTTGGGGAGCCAAAATATAAAATTTGAGGAAAATTTGAGAGAGCCTTTCTTTCAAAAAGAGTGAGAGCCAAAACACTCAAAATGAAAAATAATAAAGTTTAGATGAGTAAAAAAGGCAGAAATGGGCATTTAATTAAAATAATTTTAAACAATTCCTCTTTTTAAAAAGATGTTAAAAGTGGACGGGTAAAAAAGAGAAAAATGTTTAAAAAAATTTTTTGAAAAATTTCCAGAAAATTTGAAATTGTTATTAAAGAAAAGGAATATATTTATTTATTTAATAAAAATTTATTTTCATTTATTAATCCTTCCCAAAAAGTTTGGACGGCACTTTTTGAGAAGAAAACTAAATTTTGAAACAAAAAGTAGAAATATATTCCTTTTATAAATTTAATTAGAGAATATTTTTAAAATATTTAAAACAAAAATATAATAAAAAATATTCGTTTAGTTGATGGCAACATTCCGGCATAATTAAAATAATATTTTTATTTTGCTGGTGGAATGCAGAATTTCTGTTTTGAAGTTTTTTAAAATAATTATTTTGCCAATTCTGCTAATTCTACATGAGTATATTTCACCTAAAACAAAATAATTAATTGGTAATTATTTAGAAAATAAATATTTGGAATTTAAATAGCAGGTAAAGTTAAATAAGCAAAAATAAAATAATTGTGAAATAGGCAAAGAAAGCTTGCAAAAAATAAATATAAAATTAGATTTAAACTTTAGGAATAGTGTGAAATGAGCAATATAAAATTTTTAATTAACAGTTTTAACTCCAATTATATAACCTAAGCGAGATCCCCGACAGAGGGGGGGGGTTTTAAGAGGTTTTCTAAATTCTCCGACTTTCGGGGACTGGGGACAACCCTAGTAATTATTAAATCTCATTTAACGAACACTCATAAATAAATTGTGGCCATAAAAACAAATTTAGTAGAAACACAATATTCTAATAGATAATTAATATTTCTTAGCAAAGAAGAACTTAAAATCTCTCTTAGAAAATACGACCAATTAATATAAATTATTTTAAAAATAAAAAAAGCTGTTGGGTAAAAAAGCAATATTAGAAAGCATTTAAAAAAAATTTAAAAATAATACTCTAATAAAATGAAAAAACAAAAAAGCAGTGGAAGAATATAAATAAAAAGATATAAGATTTAAAAGGCCCATAACCAAGAAAAAATTATTTTTTCACCAATTTTAGTTAAAAATTATTTTAAAAATTTAAATAAAATTATTAAAAAATTTGTTAATATATTTGTAATTTTTGTTTAATTTGGAGGAAAATATTAGAGAAAAAACAGCAAAAACAATCAAAATAAGCAAAACTATTTTTCTTTATCAAAAAAACTTATCATCTGCTTTGTCTAGTACTACTAAAAGTACTTAATCTCGGAGAAGGACTTCTACTAGAACGGCTATATGCTCCACTTGAAGAAACAGCCAAACTAGAGAATGTTTTGCTTGTATTTAATGCATTAACTCCAGTAGTTAGTAATGACGATGAATGGGAATTTAACATTGAAAAGGAGGAAGAGGAGGCATGGGAGGAGGCTCGGGCAATAGACACCCCTACTCCATTACTAATAGCAGCACCTTCATAGTTGATTCTCTTGACTCGAGATTCAGGAATTGTACCTTAAAATGTAGAAAATAAATTTAAAATGTTAGCAATTTTGGCAATCTCTGACTTATCCACTGACTTATCAATCTTTTTTTCAAATTAAAAAAATTTCTATTCTCCGTTAATTAGGATCAATGAATGTTTGATCATTTACAAAATAGAGAAGAATTGTCTATATTCAAATTTAAAAATATATTTATAAAATACAAACATGATTGTGTTGATTCACTAGGTTCTGAAAGTCCATGTTTATTTTCAGCAATAATTCTAAACTCATAGCTCTCCTTTGCTTTTAATCCCTCAATTGTTAAATAACAAAAACGGGACCGAGCACATTGTTTCCATTGACCACCAGATTCACGTTTTTCAACAATATAACTTTAATAAATTAAAAAATAAAATCAAAAAATAATTAAAATCTCCACTTTGTAACAAGAGCACCTCCATCGAGTGCTGGTGGCTTCCAAGAAAGGATGGCTGCACCGTCAAGAACATTTTCCACAATAGGGAATCTCTGGAAGGATAAATAATTTAAAAAATTATTTTTCATTTAAGAATCTTACGGGAGGTTCAGGTTTGTCTAAAACAACCAATTTAATAACTGCAGAGTCAGAGCCAACAGAATTATTTGCAAATATTCTATATTCACCAGCATCTGCTCTAGTACAATCAGAAATTCTTAATTGAATTATTTTTTCATCTGTTTGTAAAGCATAACGTCCACCACTAGAAAGTTGCCTTTCTTCTTCAAAACTTAAAGCAGTCCAAGTTGAAGTAACAGGGGGATATGCTTTGTATGGAATACGTAATTCAATACTGTGGCCAGCTTCAACTTCCAATCCCATAAAATATTTGGGTGGAACGAGTAGGCGAGGTTTTGCTGAAAAATAATTTTTAGTAAGTTTAATAAGCATAATCAACACAAGGAAGGAGGCCTTAAACTGTTAGTAACAGTGAATACAATTGTAGATCTTGTAGTCAATCTACAACTCTGATCTCGAGATATAGAAAAATACTGCTCAAAAACATACTGCTCAATTTCAATTGGGCCCTTGTGGATCTTGTACCAAATTGATTCGTAGCCCTACACGTATATTCATCTTCATCTTCTGGATGTAAATTATTGACAATACAAACCTAATTATTTAAAATTAATTCTAAAATTAATTTAACAATTTTCTACTTGTTTTGTTCCTTTATCAATTAATGTACATTTTGGTGTATCAACTAATTCTCTACTTCCTCTAAACCAGTGAATATCTGGTTTCGGAGATCCTCCGATTTCACATTCAAAGGAAACTGTTCCTCCTGCTGTTCCGTGTTGATCACGTAGAGGCCCAATTATTTCAGGCGCCCTTCCTTTAGAATCTGGACTGAATTCGTAATTTTCAACCAAAGCTGGAGTTGATTCTCCAGCATCATTTACAGCAACAACACGGAAGTTATATGAGCGTCCATCAATGAGATTTGTAGCATTTAGAGAAGTAGACGGGGAAGGGGCTTGTGTACATTTTTGCCAAAGTTCAGTGCCTTGTTCACATTTTTCGACCATATATCCACGAATTCGGCCACCTCCATCACGTTCTGGCCTTTGCCAACTAAGTACTGCATATTCAGGGCCAACGTCCACAACTCCAGGTAGGAGAGGCGGTCCAGGAGGATCAAAAGGTAGACGGGCAATCTGTAAGAATATATTGAAGGTAGAATTAAATTTCTTTACTCACCACAGGTTTGTCAGAATTTAATGCTGGTCCCTGCCCATTAGCATTACAAGCAGAAACTCTAAAGTCATATTCATGCCCGGAAAAGAGTCCAGCAACAATAAAAGAGAGTTCTCTGACAGCAGAGGCTACAGTAACCCATGTATCACTTTCAGCAGATCTCAAATCCCTCTTTTCCAAGATATAATTTGTAATACGAGAACCACCATCGTGGGCAGGTGGTCGCCAAGAGACAGTGCATTGATGTTCTCCTATGTCGGTGATTTGGAGAGGACCCTCTGGTACCGAAGGGAGTCCACTAACATTTAGCCAGAAGCCGGTGCTAGCCTCTCCACTCTCGTTTTTGACCTTAAAACGAATGAAATAATTACTTAAAAATGCTCTAAGTGGACGGGAAACAAATACCTGATATTCATAACGTCCTGCTTCATGTGCCCGTAATTCAGGAATGGTGAGTAAAACATGGTCATCGAAATCAACCCATCTAATATTTGCTGCATCAGGATTTAATTCAATGCCATTAAGTGTGAATCGATGAGTAAATGGAGGTGAGCCAGAAAAGAAAATTTTGATACGAACCATATCCCCAGCGGGATATACAGCATTTGGTACTTGTTTTTCAATAACTGGAGGTGCTTGGACTTTAAGGCTGGCTGTTGCTGTATCAACGCCGAAAACGTTGGACACCTGATTATAGAAAAATTATACATTATCTTATATCCAAAACTCCATCTTTTTAATAATAATCCTTAAATATCTCAAGTCACTACATTTCCCGACTATGCGGAATATAAATAAAACTCTACTTAAAATCCAATAAATTACCTCACAAGTATAATCACCACCATCAATATCCCAAACTTCTTTTATTATTAATTTATAAAGCCCTTCTCCATTGTCCTCTACTCTATAACGAGCTCCATCGGGTATTTCCCTTCCATTGCGTAACCATCTGGCAGTTGGTTTTGGTCGTCCAACAGCCTCACAGGTTAACACAGCTCTTTTGTTGTAAGGACATGCAACATCTTCCGGTTTGACTACAATTGTTGGTTTACACCCAGCTGTTTCTTGTATTTTAATCGGAGATGTAGGTAATGATGGAAGACCACGTCCATGTGAATTGAGA